GTGGTGATTCAAGGTGAAATGAAAATTTAGACCACGGTGGACTCGAACCCGCCCGATGCTCGAACTTTGTACTCAGTTGGTAGAGCATCAGTCCGGGAACCCCATGGTGGCTGTCCCAACCCAACCGCGACCTAAACTTTTATTTCACCTTCAATCATCATCCAGTATAAACATGAATTTCATGAAGACTTTCACAACCAATCAGAATACTTCAAAGTTTCGATAAAAGACGCATGATCTTATGTATAGATGTAAGAAATGGTTCAAGAGGCAAAATCAACACGGAAAGTCATGGGAATAACGAAGGTTAATGTAATTAGGCACATAGTTGGACATAGCACACAATATAAGGGGATAATCTCAATACTTCTTATAAAATGCAGTGAACGGCAAAACTAGATAAAGAGACAAATGAACTAAGAGCAGAGGTGAAGAGTAGGTGATTATTGTCATGATAAAGAGAGTGTTTGTACACGTTTCTTTGAATAGAACAAACAATTGGAACTATGGTCAGAACACTATAAGGAATAGTTCAATTGGCCCTCCAGACACTATTCTGTTGCCTGTTATCCAGTTGGATACTGAAAACTGAATAGACTGTCAACTACCTACACAAAATTGATACGACTGTAACCTGAAAAGACTATTTAAAGATGGTGGGAGAGGATAATTGGTCAGATTAAGTGGAGTGTTACTCCCAGAATGACAATAAGATATGAACCGCTCCGAGTGATGTCATTTACTTAAATTCTTCTGTGATAACCATAGGAGAATTAGCCTGATGAACACACCGTCGAAGATTCTGGTTCTTATAATCACTAGATATCTAAGTCAACCTCTAAACGTCAAAAGTGAAAATACCAGGTAGGTTTCAAACCTGGACGCCGCCAAGTTTTGGAACACAGGCATCGACATTGGCTATATCTCTTGACCTGAAGGCAGGATTCGAACCCGTCGATCGAGACGTCTTATGGCAGTGCTTTTCACTGAATGCAGTACCAATGAAGTACGTCACTCTGTTGAGGGCTATATAATCGAACATGTATGGACATGATAGAATCTACAATAAGTTATGTACGTCGAGTGATGTCCGTAAAGCATGTTCACTCTCTCAATTTTTACTTAACTTTATTAAAGATGTGAATATGAAGGTATCTCTCTCTCTCTCATCGTCTGGTCATTTTTATCATAGTAGACTTTAGTCCTGTTAAGTGACTGATCTATGCTAATGTTTTGTTTATCAATAGACACTGAAGTGGTTGAGCACGTTGACCGCTTTACTCATCTTAAAAGTTGGATGAACCCTAGCGTCATTGACTGATGAAATCATTGGATAGATGCAAAAGGCTCACTTGGTTTTCACCAACTTACGCTATGTATAGCACCAGCGCTTTATCCGACTACATATTAAGGGTTGAGTATAACTGTTTAGAAGCGCTTCACTTGAGTAGGATCTGAGCCATATCACTTAGTCTTTTACCTAAAAATTTCGAATGTTATGCAAGTTACAATATGGAGGTTTACATTTTCTTATGAAGTACACATCACCACCAGTGAGAGACTTCGTAGATCGATACATCTAATTCTAACCAGCTTTAGTTGTTTTCAACATAATCCTATATTATATAGTAATGATGGATAGTGACTAGCAGAGGAATCTAGGATGAGCACTACATCCTATTTAGCAGTCGTCAGCTGGATGTACCTGCCTCCCAGTGAGTGATGTTGTTCCCACCGGGATTCAGGAGCAATCGCTAACACTGAGTATCGACGTCGATAGCGATTTCGCAAGTGTAGCAGATATCCTAGGTATCTGTTAGAAGGCCGCAGTTTTATTATCGATCTCAACATTTTTCTATACTGTCTTCACGCCATTTATTTACATGACTAGTACTTCATTTTCTGTCCCCATTTGTAATGTAATTCGCTGATTGGTTAGTCTTTACCAGTTAATGTGTCGATTTGCAGACAAGGTCATATCTGATGTGTATACGTACTCACGTGTTTTTGTGTTTATAATTGCTTATTATTCTTCAGAGGAATAAACTATACAAGTGACTCTAAAGGCCACCCTAACGACTAGTGAAACGACCAATCACGCTTCTCCATTTCAGTTGGAAAGGCAGATTTTCATAAAATAGAAAAGTCTAATTAGTCGTTTCAATTGTTGCTAGAGTGGACTCTAGGGGGTGATTTTAAAGGGCACCTTAGCAAGAACCAAAACAGCCAATCGGATTTTTTTGATTCATAAAAATCAGCATTTCCAGCTAAAATGGAGAAATCAATTGGTTATTTCGATCATTGCCTTAAAAGCCGCCCAACTTCAGTTTTCTTCGTCCGAGGTTGTAGTCAGCGGCTCTTGCGTACGAGTTAGCTGTCAACGTGCGTATTATATCCACTTGAAATATATAAGAGCACCTCAGATGATGATAAAGGTCCTCAATGCTATCAACTGACTGACTTCCCTCTTTTAACCTTAGACTCTATATACCGAGTATCTTTATTTGACGTGAATAAATGAGAGGAAACACCACCAATAGATGACAAAGTGAGTAAACAGTTGTCAGTGAGTAAGGAAATGAGAAATAAGTACCTAGCTAAAAAAAACTTCTGTATCAATAACATGAACCTTACTGGATGCTACGCATATGTCTAGTTCACTTTATCAATGAATTGTTATTTCCCTTGCTAGAACCCAAGACAGGAGTAAGATAAGGCTGTCTACTATCAACCATGATATTACTCATTGTAGTCCACTGGATCATGCAACAAACAGTGAGGAGCACGAAGAGGGGGATACACTGGCTGAACCGGGGAAAACATCCTAGACGATTTGGATTTCGCCCATGACTTGTGTCTGATGTCACACAAACTTGAAGATCTACAGGCTAAAACTAACAGGTTGTCAGAAGAGGCGGGGCAGTGATGACGGGACTTCAGGTGAAGGTATAAAACGGAGAGGTGATGGAGATACCCAACAAACACCACCACCACCAACAACAAGCACCAATCTCCATCAACAGGAGAAACTTGAAGGAAGTAATCTCTTTCACTATCTAGGCAGCACTGTTTCAATTACAGGTGCACACACGAGGACATCAAAGCAGCCAGGATTGGAAAGACAGCAAGACAGGTGTTCATTAACCTGAAATGAGTGTAGAGATCTTCTGCACTCAGCATCAAAATCCGGATTTTCAACACTAATGCCAGTCATGTCAATGCTTCTGTATGGTTCAGGACTTGCCGCGTTACGAAAAGCATTTCCAACAAACTACAGCTATTCATCAACAACTGCTGAATACACTCACTCGATACTAGTACTGAAGATCAGATGGTCAGAAACAATAAGCAACAAGGAACTCTAGTCAGGCAACGAACCAACCAAGAACCTACCACCCAAGTATCCAGAAGGAAATGGAGATGGACATCACGCGCTAAGCCTTCGAGTGGAACCCATATGGGAAACGATGAGTTGGACGTCCTAGGTGAGGGTGACATGGAGGAAATCGTCTGAGGAAGAAGTGAGAGCTTCTAGGCTGTCGTAGGTTCAGGTTCAAAAGATTCCGAAGAGAGTGGAATGGCGACGTGATAGTGAAGCCCTATGTTCCACTCGGAACCCAAGGCCAAATAACAGAAAATAATAATACCAACATAGCTACCTGAAGAACTACTCGTAGGATGTTTCCAATTTGAATAGGGATACCGATTTGGATTTAAAAATCCACTCAGCAACTTTATGCAGATTCATATAACAGGCAACGAATCATACCTATTGTGTTAGATCTAATGATACTACCTGGCTGCCCTAATCTTGATAGACGAAGTACTGTTCGAACCCGTGACTCAATGATTAAAAGTCAACCGCGTAAACCAATGAACCACAACGCAAGCTGTCACTCCAGCTATAGAAGGTATCATTGAAACTGAACTTGATGACAATGCAACCACACTTTATCATCACTTTTAATCATCCTGGTTTTCTATACATTTTGCATACCTCCTTGATGAAATGATACAATATGTAGCAATTTGGACCATTATTACACAGAGTAACACTAGGTGGGGATAGGTCCCAATATCGATAACGACTACCTACTTATCAGACACACACACACACACGCACATCAAAGTGTAATCCAGTGTTGCTTACAAAATGGTGACATTGACTGACTAATTCCACTGAAAACTTTGTAACTAATTCATCTGATGAAATACACCACCATCACGAAAAATTACCTTTTTTATCAGGAAAAAAAAAGAAACACAAAACAAAACAAATGTGTTGTGTACATACAGAGTAAGTCAGTTTATTTTGCATGCTGCCAATATTATCTAATATGAAGAACAATTATTCCCCTTTATCATCATCGTCAAATCTCTATGCGTTAAACCAAACTCGAAATTACATCGTGGTAAGCCTCTGTGTGTGTGTGTACACACGTAAGCACATCACGCGTGCGCACGCACGCACGCACGCACACAAAAAAACGCGTTAACACATACTGTTACACATTAACATTAAGAAGTTAAGCTAGGGTGAAGAGAAATAAAGACGAACTGAATTATATGCAAAACATACAAACATATAAACTGACACCCACATACACACTCTAGAACGTATACACAACTCCATAGCACAGATGATGATGATGATTCATACAAATCAAGTGCATAATTCATACAGAGCTCCCTAGCTTAACTTCTTAATGTTAGTGTGTAACAGTATGTGTTAACGCGTTTTTTGTGCGTGCGTGCATGCGTACGCACGCGTGATGTGATTACGTGTGTGACACACACACAGAGGCTTACCACGATGTAATTTCGAGTTTAGTTTTGACGCATAGAGATACATAAAGATATATATATTAAAACGGACCACTTGCAACATAGTAAAGGTGAATGAGTCAATTAGACAAGATAGTATAGATGAAAAAAATATTGACCTATTCACACTCTGATGAAAAAGGGTATTCTTATGAACGTATATGTGTTTGTTGAATTCATCTACGTGAATGTCGAGATGATCCTTGAGATTCAGAAGTTGAATAAATAGTAACTGAGCCTGGATTAGACAGATTGGTATCCATATTCAATGAATCTAAAGAAGAACGTTGATGATAGTGGTGATGATGATGATGACCTGTATAGGGGGAAGAAAAAAAAAGCAAAATGAAGGTCAGTTGAGTTTTCGCATAGATCTCAAGCTTATGCTCCAACATAAGAGATACATTTTCCATAACAACATTGTGACTTAATATTATCACATCGGTTGAATGTGACAGTTAAACTTGTTTCTCTACCAATGTCTACACCTAACCTAACCGAATATTGCTCGAATTCATAAAATGAATAGTGATGGAGCTAGGCGAAGTGTACTACGCAAACCCATAGATGAGGTTATCATCCTTTATCGACCTGAAATAATTTGAATACGCGTTGTGTATACCAAGACACCGATATTGCAGAAGGAAGTGAAAGGACCTGGCGATTGGAAGAAGGGTTACCTTGTCAAACTCCCGAAGAAGGGCAAACCTCAGTGTTTGCGAGAACTGGCACGGAATCATGCTCCTCTCCACCAACAGCAAGCAAAATATTAGGCCACATCATCCTGGAGAGGCTAAAGGATGCACTGGATTCAAAACCACGACTGGAACAGGCTGGTTTCAGGAAGTACAAATCATGTACGGATCAAATTGCAACGCTACGCTATGCATGATCATAGAACAGAGCATAGAATGAGAGTCAACTCAACTTCATCGACTTTGAAAAGGCCTTCGACAGCGTCAACCGAGCAGTAATTTGGCAGCTGGTTCAACACTACGGAATACCCCACAAACCTTCATCAATCTCATTCAACAGCTATATGAAGACGCCACATGCCAAGTAATTCACAAAGGGAAGCCAGCTCAGTGATGCTTTTGAAGTGAAGACACGAGTAAAACAAGGCTGTCTACTATCAACCATGATATTACTCATTGTAGTCCACTGGATCATGTAACAAACAGTGAGAAGCAAAAAGAGGGGGATACACTAGCTGAACCGGGGAAAACATCCTAGACGATTTGGATTTCGTCCATGACTTGTGTCTGATGTCACACAAACTTGAAGATCTACAGGCTAAAACTGACAGGTTGACAGAAGAGGCAGGACAGTGATGATGGGAATTCAAGTGAATGTAGAGAAGACAGAGGTGATGGAGATGCCCAACAAACACCACCACCAACAACGACAATAAGCACCAATCTCCATCAACAGGAGAAACTTGAAGGAAGTAGTCTCTTTCACTTACCTAGGCAGCACTTTTTCAACTACAGGTGGCATACATGAGGACGTCAAAGCAGCCAGGATCGGAAAGACAGCAAGACAGGTTTTCATTAACCTGAAACCGGTGTGGAGATCTTCTGCACTGCACTGCACTGCACTCAGCATAAAGCGTCAACAACATCCTGATTTTCAACACTAATGCCAGTCAAGTCAATGCTTCTGTATGGTTCAGGGACTTGACGCGTTACGAAAGGCATTTCCAACAAACTACAGATAGTCATCAACAACTGCCTACGCTGGCTCGTTGTTGAAGATCAGATGGCCAGAATAATGAGAATAAGCAACAAGGAACTCTGGCTGGCTGGTTGGCAATGAACCAACCAAGAACCTATCAGTCAACAAATATTCAGAAGAAAGTGGAAATGGAGATGGATTGGGCATGCACTGAGAAGAGCATTCGGCGACATCATGCGTCAGGCACTCGAGTGGAATCCCGATGGGAAGCGATGAATTGGACGCCTACACTGACTCACTCACTCGATACTCACTGACACTGAATATGGAGATGAGATGTCCAGAATAGAATAATGAGAATAAGGAAGGAGGAACTCTGGCTGGCTGGCTGTCAACGAACCAACCGAGAACCCATCACCCAACAAATATGCAGAAGCAGAAAGTAGAGATGGATTGGACATAGACTGAGAAGACGGTTGGAGGACATCACGCCCCAAACCAGGCCAGGTCGTCGAGTGGAGCCCAGATGGGAAATGACGAGTTGAGCATCTTAGCCGACAGTGACATGTAGATGGTGTGTGAGTGAGAAATGAAAGCTTGTGGGCAGTTATGGAGGCAGGTTAAAAAGACTAGAGAGATGAGAGTTAAATGTCGACTTGTTACTGAAGCTCTATGTTCCACTAGGAACCCAAAGAAATAATAATTGTAACTATAACTTCTGCGTTTAGCTACGTTAACTGACACGTCAGTCTCATCTATATATTGATAATCATTGTAATAGGATAGAGTAATTAGATTTTTGATGATATAATCATTCTAATTGGTTGTCACTGAGTGAGCCATGTTGACTCTTTTACGTTTAAAGGGGAAGCTTTTAGTTTGCGAAGGAATGAAAGTTGGTCGAAGACTTTTTGAAGCTGCATTGTTTGAGCATATTTTACCATAGTAGAGTGGGTGTGAATGGGTGGGTGTTTCTCTATGTTTCAAAGCTCAGTACTTGCTCTCAATGTTAAAAGTTGTCATGAATGTGCACTGATAACGTTTCTTGTCATCGATTCATTAATCTTCAGTATCGGAGGGTGACGTAAAGGAGATGGTGTGAGGAAGAGATGAAAGCTTGTGAGCAGTGTTGGAGGCAGGTTGAAAAGACCGCAGAGAACAAAGTGAAATATCGACTTGTTACTCAAGCTCTATATTCCACTAGGAATTAAAGGGACAAATAATAATAATAATAATAATAATAATAATAATAATAATAATAATAATAATAATAATAATAATGAAAATTCACCTCAAAATGCATGAAATATATCTCCTTTTGAAGTTTAGAAATTTTTTTTAGTAATTAAGTCAAAACGTTTCTCCTATACAAATATGAATGTATAGTCAGTCAAGAATATAATTATCATTTGACTAACCTTTTTTTGGTTTTTTCACTACTCCAGCTGAACTAGTGGCTAGCATAATTCGTTCATTTTCTAGGCTTGGTTCTCGACTCTCTATTGAAGTACCAGTTGATGATGCTCTTTGATGACTTGACTGCTTACACTGATGATGATGTTGATGATGATGACGTGAAGATGGAACAATAGATGAAGAAGCAGTAGAACAGAGATTTTCACCAGGACTAGTTGTTGAACGAATACTACTTCCACTACTTCCATATCCACCACCAACACTACCAGTAGAAGGTACACTATTCACATTGACAGTATTATTAGCAGTAACACCAGTATTTGTATAACGTAGACTTTGTACACTTTCTGAAGATAGTATTGTACCGCCTGAATTAGTTGTCGGAGTAGAACGTTTACGTGAAGATGATTTATGCGGATCACGTGTTTCATCACCAACAGTCTGAAGTGTTTTTTATTGACAGAAAGAGAGAGAAAAACAACAGTATAAACACCATTTACAAAGTCAATCTTCACAATTGTGGAATTAAGATTCTACGTGTGACAACTAATAACTTGGAATAAACAAAACGTATCCAGTTGTACTTATTGAAAAAACCCTAAAAACTGAACAACATATATTGTAATGATGATAAACAATTCAAGAAAGACTCATTACCAACAAAGTTGTTCTAAAACTAATATGCTTGGTCGGTTGATATGTTCGGCTGACGAGTCCCAAATGGGACGAAACCTGTATCCTGGATTCCTTTGCTAGTCACCAATATTAATACTCTAAAATACATCAAATCCAAGGTTATCGACAATAGTATTGAGAATTTCAGCGTTGAAATTCCTAACTGTCACCTGATCCCCATATTACTAAGTATGATACATATCCGTCATTTGAGTGGATATTTATACATTCGTTTTCATGCGGGAAAAGAATACACATCTAGACTTTTTAAAACCATAACGGTGTACAGTCTCATCTTGTGGCACAACCACACGGGTGCCTTCACCCTGGTGGACCACCGGGTGGCAATTTGAGAATGTTTACGATGCGTTTCTCATCACCCAAATGCAAATTGTTGCTCCAGGATTGGTCTTCAACGGCGCCACGGCTAAATTAGAGGGTGTAGCGGTTGGGTGTGTCGACCACTTCACTTAACTGGGAAGTAGGATGAACCCTGGCCTGGTGGCTCAATGGCCGATGAAATTTCTGCAGGGATACAAAAGGCTCAGTTGGCTTTTGTCAACTCACACCATCTGTGGCGCCACCGTGATATCCGATTGACTATTAAGGGTCATATGTACTGCACAGCAGTCCGCTCTCTTCTACTGTATGGTTGTGAAACATGGCCATTGAAGGTGGGAGATATGAGCAAGCTTCAAGTGTTTGACCACCGTTGCCTTCGTAGTATAGGCCGTATTCCGTGGTGTCACCATATGAGTAACACACAAGTCAGATGTAGAGTTTTATGGAGAAGAGGTAAATCAGTTGACACACTTGTGAACCTTCATCGACTGAGATGGCTGGCTCCAACACGTGCTACGGATGCCTTATCGCCGTCTATTTCATCACACAATGTTGGACAAAGAAGGCTCAGGTTGGAAAAAGGCTCGAGGCGGCCAGACTAAAGCATGGCATCAATGTATGAAGTCTTTAACTATTAGTCTGAACCATGTGAGGCGATGGCAGACTAGGTGGTTAATGTCCGCAGGACAAGAGGAACGAACCAGTTGTTGGAGACTCTAGGTGATATTGCTCAGAACCGATGTCAGTGACGCAGATGTATATATATATATATATATATATATATATATATAATCTTCATCTTAACGACGCTATACCGAATCTCACCATTTTCTCATTCTTCCTTTCCCTCTTTGAGTACTTTATATCTCTTGTGACTGAATTTTCTTTTCTTCATCTTCCACGTCACTGTCTTTTACTTGATGTAGTGATATGAGGTGTGGCAAGTTGGACCGTTACTCAGTAATGCCTGGTCCTAAGTTGACAGATGATGATGCTACACAATGATTAATCACTGATGTATCACTTCAAACTGTGTGAAGTATTATCCTCTTTTGAAAGGATTGTTTGCAAAAGGCAGGTGAGACATAGACAATGAAAGCTGAACTTGTGGCTACCATCGACCTTAACCCTTCCCTCTACCCAAAATACATACAACAACTAGTCTGATGACATTCTTCAGTACGTTCGTGAATTGTTGCTCAGAAGAAACTGGCTGGTAATCATTCAAATAGATCGACAACAAAATTCGCTTATTCATCAAACCTTGAAAAACAAAAGGCATACAAATACAGGGGGAGAGAGAGGAGAGGAGAGAAATAAATAAGGATAGATGTTTAGTAGATTGTAATGGATTATAACGGGATAAAAGAAGAAGAAGAACCTGTTATATAATCTGAATAAGATACAAAAATTGATAAGGCTTAATCTGAATGTGGTAGTAGAGCCCGGTGATAAAAAAGAAAAGCAACAATTTAACACAACGTAACCAGACAAACATTACACAGACATCCTCCTAATAGTCAGGATGTATAAGAAGGTTATAAAGGTGGGAATAAAAGGGATATCGAAATGCAATAGGATGGTAATGATACTGCTAGTGGTGATGGTAGTAGAAGAGGAGACAGTTGAGAAGTAGGCAGGGAGGGGAGGGAAGTAACGCGAGGAACAAACAAGCAAACAACTGAAGAGATGCAAAGTCAACGGTACACAAATATACACACACACACTACTATGCATAGGAGTAATCTTAGAATTACAAAATCTTTTAGTAAAATTGTACACGCATTATAATTATTTCAAAAATTGAAATTATATTTTTGTTGCTGAAAAATACTTCTCAAATTATCTTTAAATCAGAAATATATTCATCTTTTTACCTACTGGATCCATTGTGTAACACACAAACTGAAGCAGTAAAGTTTATTTTAACAGCTTAAAAAAACAATCACTATACTCCGTTTGAAAATTTGGAAGTCATGCTCCTCTAGGTTTCATCCTTGCTAGAACTCATCAACAGTATGTGTGTGTCTGAAACCTAAAGAGAACTTATTTCTCTGCAGAGATTCAAATATACACCAGTGTATTTCAACCAGAGATGTACACAATAAGCTATATGGACCATGTTTAACATCTTGTAGGAATGATAGATAGATAGGAATTCAGTAGGAACTGAAGACTAGACAACATAAAACTGGTTACTCTCTTCTAGTGAGTGATCAGTTTTGTGTATAACAATCACTTACACCTAGTGTATACTAATTAATGATCCTACTGTCTGGTTGATAAAAGCTTCTTAAGTGAAAAAGGCTTCGAACTTAAGATCTATTGATGAAATACTAACATCTTACACCTTTGAGTCATAAAACATGAAAATTTAAGTTTATTAAGGAATCAAGTGTATATCAATGTGAAAATGTGTACAAAGACTTTCTGACATTCAGGTGATTATTCAAAAAACCCTAGTACATATAATAATCATGCCAACAGAACCCCCCGCCCCCCCACATTACCGAAGATAACGTAATTCATAACCGCCTGGAATCTATACTCTTTAGAACTGTTGCGAAACAGGTATAATGATCGAAATTTTAAGAAAAAAGTACTACGTAACACAAATATATACGAATACAGAAGGTTATAGACAAACAATAATAGACGAAGAAACTCCACATTCAAAAATAATTCACCCTGATTGTCTGTAGACATTCAGATGCTGAACATAAAGTTCCGTAACATCTAATCTTAGAACAGTTTAATAATAATATTACACTATTCACTGGATAAGATGATTGATGACTTCATTATAACAGAATGTATAACCACAGTGTTACTTATATAATGAATGATCACTTAGTTTACATCCATATTACTGGTGACCATTTGTTTTCTCAGTAAGTAAGTAAGTAAGTAAGTAAGTAAGTAAGTAAGTAAGTAAGTAAGTAAGTAAGTAAGTAAGTAAGTAAGTAAGTAAGTAAGTAAGTAAGTAAGTAAGTAAGTAAGTAAGTAAGTAAGTAAGTAAGTAAGTAAGTAAGTAAGTAAGTAAGTAAGTAAGTAAGTAAGTAAGTAAGTAAGTAAGTAAGTAAGTAAGTAAGTAAGTAAGTAAGTAAGTAAGTAAGTAAGTAAGTAAGTAAGTAAGTAAGTAAGTAAGTAAGTAAGTAAGTAAGTAAGTAAGTAAGTAAGTAAGTAAGTAAGTAAGTAAGTAAGTAAGTAAGTAAGTAAGTAAGTAAGTAAGTAAGTAAGTAAGTAAGTAAGTAAGTAAGTAAGTAAGTAAGTAAGTAAGTAAGTAAGTAAGTAAGTAAGTAAGTAAGTAAGTAAGTAAGTAAGTAAGTAAGTAAGTAAGTAAGTAAGTAAGTAAGTAAGTAAGTAAGTAAGTAAGTAAGTAAGTAAGTAAGTAAGTAAGTAAGTAAGTAAGTAAGTAAGTAAGTAAGTAAGTAAGTAAGTAAGTAAGTAAGTAAGTAAGTAAGTAAGTAAGTAAGTAAGTAAGTAAGTAAGTAAGCAAGTAAGTGAGAGAGAGAGAGAGTGAGTAAGTAAGTAAGTGGATGAGTAAGTAAGTAAGTGAGAGAGAGAGAGAGAGTAAGTAAGTAAGTAAGTAAGCAAGTAAGCAAGTAAGCAAGTAAGTAATTAAGTAAGCAAGTAAGTAGGCGGATGAGTAAGTGAGTAAGTAAGTAAAATATTACATATCAGCTTTATTTTCCATTGAAGAAACAAACAAACTCATGGAATATCACGCAAGAGAAAAAGTAATCTCACATGAGATACATAACATACACACATACATAGTGTAAACATTTCCCTAAAAGGCAATCCATACACACTTGAGATTCATTGCTTAATGCGTTCACCTAATATTAATATGAGGAATAAACGTTTTTATTCGAAATGAAATCAGATTAAGACTGGAAAAAATGTGTGACTGGTACTTGAATAGATTTCTTTTTGCATTCACCTCTTAAAATCATAACATGCAACTTGATAAATATTAAGTTGATTTCTATAGATGAACACTACACACTAAGAGATTATTCTATGAGAGGATGGAGGCAACAACTAGTGAAAAATGAATGACAATTAACTAATCAGAATTCAATAACTCATCATTCAGTCAGTATAGATGCATCTATGAGTTGCTAAGATCACTGAATAAAGAAGTCAAGTATAATATACAAGTGGAATAGATTCCTTCTTATTTAAGCATTCAGTAAAATGTCAATTGAAAGTATTGTCAGTTTGTTTGTGATTGTAGATACACCATTCTGCTGATGAGTGTCAACAAGCACTGAAATCAAACAACTACAATGAGATGACAACAGATAATTAGGAGTAATAAATAATCATATATCACAGTCCTACTTCTCCTATAAACACTGATGATAATAATTGAAGATATACACAATTCATAATACAATCAGTTCACCGGGTCTCAG